AATGATATCGGACGACAGTCGCACGGAAGTACGTTTGTTAGCTTAGTTCACAAACGTAATGACGGATACATTTTAAGTCTGTGTTAAAGGGGTTTAAATGAAACGGGGTAAAATTTGTGGATTCACTATTATCTCTCCAAAAACAGAGAGTTGGTTTTTGAAATTACAACTCAAACAATAAGAAAAATTGTGTTCAGTAACGTAAATCATTTCTCGTTGAAACACACAAAATTATGTTATTCGCGGCAGAGAAAATTTACAAATAACTGCTGAAACGCCACTGAATTCATAAAAAGTCAGTGATTGGTATAACATAAGTTCTGGAGATCCATTCGACCCGTACTTTATTGAAAATGGTTACCAATTTTTTAGCGTGAAATTAAAGATATAGATGTGTTACCTTAACAGGATCCAGTACTGTACTATGTCTCGTATTGGATATTTGAATAATTTTCAAGTAGTGGTCGAGTTATTGCCAGATATGTCCTGATAAATCATCGAAAAGTACCTTAAAAGGATCTAGTACTGGATTATTTCGAAGGGTGGATATTCTAATGATTCTATATATCTTATTTATCTTTCATTAAAAATTATTTTAACAGAATCCAGTACTGTACAGTATCCCGTATTAGACATTTGAATGATTTTGTATTTCTTGTGAAGTAGTGGTCAAACTATTGCCAAATATGTCTCGACTATTAATCGAAAGGTACCTAAAAAGTATCTACTACTGAAATATGTCGTGGGGCGGACATTTGAGTGATTCTATATATCTTTATAAATATCTGTCACGTTATGGTTGAGGTATTTCATTAAAAGGAATTAGTACGGAAATATGTCTTGTGGTAGATTCTTGAATGAAGTTGTGTTTTTTACAAACTTTGGCGAGATATGTGCCGAAAAAATATAGAAAATTCCCTTAAAAGGATAAAGTCCCGGAACATGTTCTTTAATGGACATTTGATGATAAACATTTTCCAAGGTATATCTGAACTATTGTCAGATATGTGCCAGATAAATCATTGACAATTACTTGAAATGGATTAAACACTGTAAGATGGCACAAAGAGAATATTTAAATGTTGTTGTATAACAAGGTCCAAATAATATAATTATATTAAAATTTTATTAAAATCTCAACGTTTATTTTTGATACCATCAGACTTTGAATAGAATAAGACTATGTGTGTTACCGAGGCTCTATGCTCTTAAAAGAATTTAAAATAACTGATAAACTGAGTAAAGTAACGTAATTGAGTAAATGATTTTAAAGCAAAATAGTCATACAAAAATGTGTTGTACCAGAAGAAATAAATGATTCTACTTTCAAAAGTATTTTGTAATATTACCTAAAATATAAAAAATGTTCAATTGCTATTTTACATTTAAGGATATGTCAAAAACTTTAATGCTTTTTATTACCAATAAGCATCTTGAATTTTCAATTTTCTTTAAACTTTTTGGTTTACGAGTGAGTCCATTGATCGAATGAGACGACCATCAAGTCGAAATATATTTTGGATACCGATTTGAGAAGCGCCTGTCGAAACTTTAGTTGCTTTTACAAATGGCACGGCACGGCACGGCACAAGCTAACGACGAAGGGATAGTACGGCACAAAAAGCTTTTAGATTAATGTTGGCATGTGAGGACATTTAATTAAACTTCCTGTGGCATCAATAACATGCTGGCATGTGGAACAGTAGATGTAAATTAAAGCATTTGCTCAAAACTGCTGACTGAGTTCAATCCGGTGGTATGCTGCTGCTGCTGCTGCTCCAGCAGCATAATCAAGGAAACTCTTTGCTTGCTTTAATTTCATGTTTATTGAAGCATTTCAATGTTCTCAACTTTGAACTAAAAACTACATAAATATAAAATACCTTACCTACTCGTTGGGGGTTTAGAAGTGGACCAACTTTTTGGATTTACTAACACTTAACACTACACGAAATTCAACTTAAAAACTTTGGACATTTGTACGGGACTCCAGAACACTGCCTTGTGCTATACCTACTGCTCTAAGTTGTTACGAGGAAAAGATTTTATTATTGCCAAGAGCAGCTTTCGGCTTCGGCTTGCAACTTCAACTGATAAACGGATATGTTCAACAAAATGTTTAAGGAAAACTAGCCAGGACATTTAAGGAAATACAAAATGCCTACAAAAATTGTTCAACAGGAACAAAAAAAAAAAAATAAAGGATAAAGGATTATTGAAAATTATTTTATTAACTTCAAGCACATTTAAAAAAGGCCACCTTAAGGCTGTGCAAAATAGTTTTTCAATATCTACAACAAATGTAGGCTGGATACTAAGCAATATAAATTAGGATATGCCGAGTACAGAATCATTTGGCGACATCATCATATGTAATTCAGACAAAATAACAGGACTCCTGTTTTATGCCGTTAAACAATTTCGCACAGATGTGCTATATTAAAGCGATATTTTACAATAATGGTCGGATGGATACAAGCAACTACACCGACCATTTTCATGTGATATATGTACTGCCGTATCTACAGAAACAGAGAAAGAGACGGAAGTTAATGGTTCGTTATAGTGGCCGCAGTTATTGAAGATTGAGCACGACAATGTAGGCATTATCCACTAGGTTAATATACAAATGACAATAATACTTTGTTTGCTATTGTATTTTTTATGTTTGTTGGCTTTCTTCGTTTTGTTCTTGTTGTTCTTGTTGTTGTTGCTGTTTTTTTGTTTTTGTACTTCCTCTACTGTAAAGCGCCGCACATGCATATTGTACATCAACAGTTCATGGAGCGTCGCATTACACTTATGTGTGTTGTTGTTGGTCGCTTACACGACAACCTCACGACTGTTAAACGACCGAGTTAATGCGGGTGAAATGAGTGGATTTTGTGTTAAAGCTTACGAGAGTTAAGTAATTGAAAATGTTAAAAGCTTAAATAATACATTTATTTTGACTTTGTGCTGTAAACGACAACAACACTTCTGTGTAAACCGTGTAGTGAGAGTTAGAGAGAAAGAGAGACAAAAAGCAAGTGAATGGGAGCATGTAGTTTGTTGGGTGGTAGTTTCAGGCACATTTAAAAGCAAAATGTAAACAAATGAGAAAAGCTTGTGCCAGGAATTCATACGATTTTTCCCATTTAAAAGAAACGTAAATAGAGATGTCAGTCAGTGTTCTAAGAATCTCTATCAGGTTGAAGTTATGGTGCTAATACCTTATGCTTAGCTCAGGAAATCGTTAGGTTATTTTTACGTAAATTCTACACTTCATTAAAGTAATTAGGATAGTTTAAGTTTTAATTAAACAGTTATCACTAATAAAATAGACTCGTATTAGGTAAAGAGAATTTATAGTTTATTATGTATATGAAAAACATGATATTAATTATTTACATTAAGATTGTAAATTGTTTTATTTAAAATGATATGATAAAGAAGTCTATCAGCATTTATTAGAAGACGGGATTCAGATATACTTAATAATTTATACTCTACTATAAACAATTATTATGTTATGGAAATTCATTAGCATTTATTAGAAGTTCAGATTTAGATTTCCGTAATAAACTATGGCGCTTACTATAAATATAATGATATATAATGATATGAATATCCTTAAGCGTTTATTAGAAGACAAGATTCAGATTTCCTTAAAAAATTTTGCTCTACTCTAAAAAGTTACTATTAATATGCTATCCGTCAGCCTTTAATAGAAGATAGGATACAGATTTTCGTAAGAAATATGCCCTACTAAAAAAATTATAATGACATGGATATTTGTTATCGTTTATTAGAAGATAAGATTAAGATTTCCTTAATAAACTATGCCCTAATATAAAATATTTTTACAATATGTGCATTTATTAGTGTTTATGAAAAAATATCTGATGATTGGGCCAGCAGATATTATTATTATTAAAAGTTTAAACGTGAAATCACACAACAGCCGGTACTGCGGCCAGAAGAGTCCTATTGTACCAGTTTCACTATTGATTACACAAAGTCCCTTAAAGCTTTGTGAATAAAGTCTAGAACTAAATCTAGAAAAGAGTTCTTATTCTGTTCTGATGACAGAAGTTCCATATAAAACAAATTTTTTCTGAGCATTCACAAACAATATGCATTGGTAGTTTCCTCATCTTCGAGACATAATCTGCATTTCGAATTAGCAATTAGTTGTAGTTTATAAAGGTGGTATTTTAGTCCATAATGACTTGTAAAGAAACCCGTTAGCAACCTTAAATTACATTTTGAGAATTTAAGGATGTCTTTGTAGGAGTACGGTGATATCAGTGCTTTGCTTTGTCTAAGTCCTGGGAAGGTTTTCCAGTACTTCAACCGCATGTGATTTTCCCTGTCCTTGATTGGCCAGCTGATATACTTCTACTATCTATAATTTGAAATTCTTCAACATTTTACTAACATATTTTTCTGGCAAAAAATCTTTAGAGATTAAAGGAAAATAAAAACTAAATCGATCTCCTTGAATTGAGGTAATATAACAAATCTTTCGTCCTTAACGATAACCAACCTGACAAACTGTTCAAAAAATACTTTTCTAAAAACTTATTTCATATTTTGGAATACTATAAATATATATTATTAGATAATTTATTTTTAATAAACGCTGGTGAAGGCTTTTTTAAATAAATTCGCCACTACTGATGGTGGAAATTTAATGCATATTAATGACCTTTGTAAATCGTACATTTTGGATAATTTTTTTTTTAAAAAATCGAAATGTAATTCCATAGGTCAGTTTAGAATAATGTATTTGACCCAAATAAAGAGCAATTGGTCACTAGCAATACCAGATAGTTAAGTTTCATAGAAGGCATTTTTATGAGCTTAAGGAGTGTTAAAAATTGTATTCCTTAAACTAAAGCTATGAAAAAAGTAAACTTGTTACACTATACTTCAGATTTTATAGCTGTCTAATTTATAGATCTATTAAGTATTCAAAGTATAAAAGTGTGTTGATGACTTACATTAGTTTTCGTAGATCATATGAAGAGCAAAGAGCCACATGTTGACGACTTAAAGGTTATTTATCATAATTTTACTTATTTCAATATTTAAAAATTTTATAATTTATCTTTATCATTCAATGTATTTAAAAATAAGTTGCTTTATCTTCTAATTAACAATATATATTTTAGGACACTACAATATATAAAATCTTCAGATAACAAAAAAATATTGGACTTACCTGTATACCATGCGCACCACCCTGTTGGCTTATGTGCAACTGTTGTGTTTGTTTCATTTGCAAGGTTGTTGTTGTTGCATTTTGTTGCTGTTGTTGCATATTTGGTCCAGTTTGTTGCGTGTTAGTACCCATACCAGGACCATTTTGTGTGGATTGTGTTGTACCAGCAGCACCGCCTACTTGTGGCCCACCTTGTGCGCCTGCTCGTTGCTGTGCATTCGTTTGTTGCTGCTGTTGCTGTTGTTGTTGTTGCGTTGGCATTTGTTGTGCTGACATATTAGGTGGACCATTTGATGAACCACCTGTTGCATTAGGACCTACACCAGGACCGCCACCACGTGGTGGACCCTGCATAAAATTGGTACCGGCTGGACTTTGATTTCCGGCTGGTCCCATAGGTGAGTTATAGGGCGAGTATTGTTGTTGTGGATTATTTTGTTGTTGAGATTGCGTTTGACCAGGCTTTGGAAATCCACTCGGCACTTGTGGACCCATTTTTGGACCATTTGCATGTGTCTGTTGTGGACCGTGAGGGTGATGTTGTTGTTGAAGCATTTGTGTCTGTCGTTGTAAACGTTTGAGATCGAAATCATTTTGTGAGTTATAATAAAATTCTTGTTTCATATCGAGGAAGGATTGATTAACACCAGCACCTGGCACAACATCAGGTACCTTTTGATGGAATTGTGGTGGTAAATGTTGTTGTTGTTGTTGCTGTTGCTGCTGTTGTTGTTGTTGCTGCTGTTGCTGTTGTTGTTGTGGTCCATTAGGACCCATAAAGTCATTACCAAAACCACCATACTCATTGTAACGACCATTGGGACCACCCATCATTTGATTTTGTTGTGGCTGATGCATCGGTGGTCTAGGGTAGCTCATGCCACCAATAGCATTTTTATGTTGATGCTGTTCAGCCATTTGTTTAAGTGTTTGTGCCGCTGCCAATGAGAGTTCTGACATAGGTCCATTATTCGGACCATTTTGAAATTGTGAACGCATTTTGTTCATGCCCACTTGCGTATCAGTATTTGCACCACCCATTGACCCAACGGGCATACCACCCACATTTGGATTACTATTTAGTGGACCACCACCAAATGCTGCATTGAATTGTGCCATAGCATTCTCAGACTTAACATTTAAACTGTTAATTAAGTCTTGTGCATTTGGTGGTTCCACTTTAATGCCATCTTCGGTTTTTATATCCAACAATGGCTTCTCATCAAAACCATCAAGAAAACCAGGGTTGAAATCCTGTAAATCACTGATGAGATCTTTAAAGGTATCATTACCCTCTGTTGTATCGTCACCCATAAGATCCGGAAAACCGGGGAAATTGCCATTTGGACCACCTTCCTCTTTTAGACCTGCCAGATCGGCAAAATCATGTTCAGGCTCACGCTTGCACTCAACCAAATTACCGAGTCCACCCAGCGTTGCCTTTTGTTGTTGTTGCGCCGTATTCGAATTATTATGCCCACCCATTAGGTTGCTGCCTGCAACACCGCCTTGTCCTGGATTACCGCCACCCATATGTGTACCCATGCCATTATTATTACCACCACCTCCGCGACCATTATTAGGTATGCCGGCTCCTCCTTGAGGATCGTTTGGATTGCCGACGTTACCGCCGCCACCACCACCGCCAACACCTGGTTCACTTTTAACTGATGTATTTGTTAGTGCCTTCACTGTAACATTCGTACTAATTTGTTGAGGTTGTGAACTGGCAGCCGAGGTTGTAAATTCTAATTGTTGTACAATTTCTACAGAGAATTTTGTAAGATTTTCAGAGCCGTTATTATTGTTGTTATTATTATTTGGCAGTTTATGTGGAGGTTCAAAGTTTTCAGCTCCGTTGTCGACATCGTCCGCTGGTCGTTTTAAAAACTTTTGTTGCTATAATAAAAGATAAGATAAAAAATATTTTTTAAATTTAATGAGTTTTATTTGGTTTATAGAATTGAATATTCATATATAAAAAATAATTAAAAAAATGTTCATAGAATTCTTTTAAAATTTTTTTATTTTAAAAAATAATACCAATAAATTTGATTAAATTTAAATAATCTTTAGATACCATGAATATACTGCAGGTGTCCTGAATATACCTCCGAATACTTTGAATATAGTTCAGACTACCCTGAATATACTTTAGAGTACCCTAAATATAATTCAGAGTGTCCGAAATATACTTCAAAGTACCGTGAATATACTTCAGAGGACCCTGAATTTACTTTAGAGTACCCTGAATATACTTCAGAGTACCCTGAAGATAATTCAAAGTACTCTGAGGGTTATTCAGAGCACGTTAAAAACACTTTAGAGTACGCTAAAAATTATTATAGACTATAGTTATAATTAAGGTACTTTAAGGTACCTTGAATATACTACAGAGCACCCTGAATATACTTCAGAGTACCCTGAAGATAATTTATAGTACCCTGAAGATAATTCAAAGTACTTTGAAGGTTCTTCAGAGCACGTTAAAAACTCTTTAGAGTACATTGAAGATTATTATAGACTATAGTTATAATCAGTGACAATAAAATACGTTTCTTAAATAACAATAACAAAAATTTTTAAAAATAATTTAAATTATAAAATATATTATAAAATATTTAATGTTTTATACTAGCTTTATATTTATTATTTATATTTACCCAAATATTCATTAAAGTTAATTAATTTAAGAAGACAGAATTAGACAGCACATATAGTTTTTTTAATGAGTTAAGTTGATGAAAAATTACGCCTTAAATATTTTTATTTATATTAAACACTGTTTTTTATTGTTTGATTGGATGTCGCGCGCTTTTGACTGTAGTAGAAACGATGCAGTGTTGCATTTTTCGCAGCAAACATACACTTTGTCGTTTAACGAACATATTTTTTTTTATTTATTTTTATCTTTGCTTTTGATTTATTGCAT